GTGCCATTTTTTTTTCAAACCAATTTATAAATTTGTTCAAAAATTAAATTAAATGTACACGTTTTAAATTTTACTTTTAATTTAATATGGGAATTTATGGGAGTATATGATATGGGAATAGACACTAAAGATAGGAAATAAACATATTTTTTTAAACTGCCGCAGCAAATTGCTTTTCCTAGAATACTTAGCAATAACTATTCTGAATCGTTTCCAAGAAGTTTCTTCGTTTTCAGAACCTTCCACTTTATGACGCGAAGGAGGAAAGACAAAGAAAATAAAAAGATTTCTTTTCTGTGACTAAAAATTGGAAGAAATAGAAATGAGAATGGCTCTTAAACAAACACAACATTACACATTCCTTGTGAAAGAAATATGAAATATGAGAAACATCTTTCTATATTTTCATGACGAACAGTTTTTCTTTTCCAGATATTTCTAAATAAACAACGAGAGGTAAAAAGAATGTCATGTGATAGTAGGCAGTTATTTCATGCATTACAATAGCTCTATTTAATTCCTGGTATAGGATGCGTCATTTCTTAATCTTTTATCGCAGTGCATTGTATAACTTGTAGATTTAAACATAGATTTAATTGATAATAAAATGTTCGAAATAATTTTAGAAAAATTCTATGTTTGTGATTGTAATATTTAATAAATCTTAGTGTAAAAATTAAAAAAGGAGTCTGAGGGCATGAAACACGCTAGTTAATTAATACTAACTAGTATTAATTAAATTACAAAGTTTTGTATAAAAGCGTAGATTTGATAAGAACTTGGTTTACAATATTCTAAGCAGTGGTGAGAAAAACTACATTATTTTTGTAGTTTTTACTACAACTACTTTTTTATAAATGTAGTTAAGAAAATGATATGGGTTTTTTTACAAATATTATTTTGTATCATAAGAAAGAATTTAATAACGTATGATAGTTCCTTGCAGTAAATGTTCATATACCAAAATGTGATTTAATAAGAAAAGAAAACAGGCTGAAAAAAAAAGATATTCTAATGGGGAATGATTCTCAACAATTCCGGGATTATTTTTCATAAATCTTGTTTAATGGCACAAAATGTAATATATGTGAAAAAACCCGTATCATTTTGAGTACTACTCAGAAAATTGCTTAAAATTTTTAAGATATTCAAATCGAACTTTTTTTATTAGTTGCCAAATATGATTCATTGCAAAATTAAAAATTTTTTTTTGTTAATTTTCCCCGCTCATGTACTGTATAAACTAAACTAAACTCAGTAGCGCGACAGCCCGTAGAGGGCCAAGGCCTACTGTGCCCATCTCAGTTTTCTTAACTTTAGGCTCTCGGGTGCAGGAGCAGAATTTCTGGTCAGGTGGTTAGCCGAACACGGAAACCCCAGCGTTTAGTTCCCAAGCATGCTTGGTACTCATTTATCGACCCACTGAAGGGATGAAAGGCTGAATGAACCTTGCCCGGTCCGAGAATCGAACCAGGGACCTTTGGCACGACAGCGCGAAGCGCTACCGCTCAGCCACCGGGCGTTACTTACATCTTGCACAATTTGAAACGAATTATGTATTCTCAAATTTTAAGGAGCATTTTTTATAATTATTAAATCTTTAAATGAATTGTTAATGTAATGTTAAATGTATTAAATGTTTATTGTTAAATGTTCTAAAAATTTCCTTTAGTTTTATTGAATATTTTTAAAGCTATAGCAAAAACTCGTACGACACAAAAAAAAGTTAGTTTTTTTTAAATATAAAAATGTCCATATCTCCATAAATATTTAAGCTAGGTTTACGAAATTTTGTGTAATTATTGCATATAATAACCAAAATTACTGTCACAAGTTACAAATCTATTGCTAAATTTTTTTGGCATAGGGTGTTCAGAAACATTATTTTCCGTTTTTAATTTATTGTTGGTCCTTCAAACCTCTAAAAGCTTTAAAGTTCATTGATATGTATGAGAAATCGCATGATCTTAAACACTTCTGAAGTTATAAAGTATTTCGTTAAGTATTACTGGAGAAATAAGAAAAATGTATTAGTATAAACGTGCTTTCATTATTTTGTCCACCCCTAGTACAGTGCGGCTTTCAGGAGAACTCCTCCAGATATCCGTCTCGCGTCGTGGCGGTTACTATGGTAACGAGGAAAACAACTTCGAATAGGGGTGTGGTGTGAATAGTTTTGTCTTAATCTTGACATAGGTCATCGTGAGTAAACCAATTGTCACCTTCTTTCCTCCATTTCATCCCCATTAAAGATGTGCTCTCGCTTGTTACCATAGCAGCAAACCCCAGACTTTTAGCCTGGAGGAGTTCTCCTCAAAGTCGCACTATACCTTATCACGAAACAATTAATTTAAATACACATAAAAATATTGCTAAGTCGATATAATCTCTCTAAATATATATACATATATCTTATATAGATTTCATAATACGTATTATGGACCCTCATTGGACCAATAATCCCGAATCTTGGCTCAATAAGGATTTAAAGGGCCGATATTTTCCAATATCGGCCCTATATAGAATTGTCCGATTCACCCGATATTTTATAATAGTTATTCAGCCAATATGAGCCCTATGTTGGCCCTAAATAGGCGGATATTGACACTGCATAGGACCAATAAAAGATCTAAACATCCCAATATTGGTCCCTCAGAGCATGTTCATATAGGACACCCATATTGAGCCAATTTCGAGCCCAACTGGGGCCAAGGTTGTTAATGGCTAATGGCAAGGCAAGATACAATAATAAGTAAATACAGCTATATGGAATTAACAGAACCAAAATTATCGAAATCCATGCCTAAGATAGTCTCTGGGCATGCCAATATCGGATGATTCTCCTTTTTTATTTGAATGTCAAATTTTTCTTCACGCCTTCCTTAAATAGAATAGTCCTTTTAAGACGAACACTTTTTAATTTGTGACGCATCATTTGTCAACCCTACTTTGCAACGCGTCCTTATTTTTTTCAAGCAGTCTTTTCATTTTTATTTGTTTAAATATTTATTTATTCATAATTATTATATTTTTTTAATGGATTCGTGGGCGTCAACGGTTTATTTTTTATTTAATAATTCAAAAATCTCTTGAGTTGTAAAAATTTAGAAAGCTTTTTCATTATATTAAACTATGTAATTTCTAATTACGAAAATAAAAAAAACTGGAGTATGTATTTCCATTGAAAAAAAAAACCGATCTTTTAATACATATTTTTTATTAATACTAATAGCAATCAAATACTTGGGGCTGCGTTAAGCAATACTTGAGCTAGTTCGCGAGGAAAATAATAACATCTTTAATTGCTTTGAATTCAGAAGATTTCAGTAAAGTGAAAGTAAAGACTCAAGACACATATTTTTTTAAAAGTTGGAAGGTAAGAAAATTAATAGTTGTAAGTCAAAAAATTTTAAGTTGCATATAGTGGGTAAAAAAGTATGACTTATAAACTTAGATATGAGAAAAGTGTGAAAAAAAACTCTAAAAACAGGCCAATTTGTTTTAACTTTTTTCTCTCAAAGTTAGTACCACTTATAAATATTCCTAGCTTAAGAATTTAACTTGAATCCTTTAATCTATTAACATGTCTACTCTAAATTAATTAATTTTACAATTGAAGAAAAACATTCCTGCAACAGCCCGTTTTGAGTTTTGGAGAATAAGGCTTCGCAATTTCGAGAGCAGCGTTATCACGCTGCAAATTGGTGTAGCACTGTTAATTCTGCCATTTATTTATTTATGTATTATTTGGCTACTATTGTTTGGCTATTAAGGTAGTAAAAATCTGGCGTTAAGTAGACAATTTTAGGCTCTGGTAAATTAAAGTGATTTTCAGTTCATTTCCATTTTATTTAACTTTTACTTGGGTGTTGTTCTTTCTGATATAAGTTACGTTTTACTTTGTACTTGACCTTAAGTACATAACTTTTCGCCAATTCTTATGGAATAACAACCAATAATCAATTAATCATCCAAGGATATATTACACTGCAAGGTCCCTAAATTTGTATAGTCGATTATGAATTTTTGGAGATAAAACAAAATTTTAACTGAAAAAAAAATAGTTGGTCGTTGAAGAAATTTAATTTAGCATGCATCAGTTCTTACTTCTTACCGTAAAAAACTTAATTGGGCGTAAAAAAATTACTAACCTACTATTGACACCAGTGCTGTTTAATTAACTGCGGTTATGTATACTATTAGTATTTTTATTAATAATATTGGAGAGCAGATTTTTTAAAACAGTATTATAGTAAAGTTTTTTTTAAGGCTGTACTAAAAATGCTAAATTTCATTTAAATATTATGCTGTATTATTTTGTCACTGAGAAAATATTTCTGGAAGTATTTTTTACAAATATTGCTTATTAATTTTAAGTAGTAGAAATAATTACATTTTAAATTAAACTGTAATTATTATCAGTGTTGATAATTTTTGATATGCAGTACATTAAATCGTATATCACAAAATAAATAACTCATAAGTCACTTATTTCACTATTGTTTTTTTTTATTTACCATATAAAAAAAAAAGTTTTTTTTATTTAACTATTTTAATTTTGTTAAGCATTAATTGGAAAATATAGCACACAAATTACAGAATTTCATAATGAAAATGGTTTTATTAGCCATGCAGATAATAAATGCTCATTAATTATAATCTTAATTTGAAGAAAATATTGTTTAAATTTCAGAGATATCTTAAAGTAAATAAAAAACACGATGTCCACAACATGCATAAATAAATAAGATCTCATGCGTAGATAAATAAGCATAATAAATAAGATCAATTGCGACTTTCTTTTTATTTCCTTTCTTTCTTTCTTTTTATAACGCTATCATTGGGGAGTAAAATAATCAGTCTTTTTCGCCAGTTCCGTTTTGATCTTGAAAATTCTGGATTTTTCTAGACATCCAGACACATACATGATCGATCGGATTTTAGAGTTTGCGTTGGGTTAGTATCTTGAGCCCCATGACGTCATAGACCGAGAGCTTTGTTTTGTTTTGAATTGCTGCAGCTGATATTTATCAACCAATCAGCTTCTGACAACGATTCTATTTTATTGTGCGTCACTGCCTAGTGTATAAAACTTCACAGCTTAGCCATTTCTTTTTAGAAATTTTGTTAAATAGCATCCGATAAAGGATACGCAAACGTAAGTATTATATGAAAATTAATTATTCTGTAGATCAGCTGAAAATTTTCGATATTGAATAGTTGCTTAAGGTTTGTAATGTATTTGGAAAATTTTGTATTTTAAATACTTACATACGGTGTTTATAGTAATGTTTTATTCAGTGTCGTATTTGGTTTTATTTATTATATCTAATTTTCGATATGTAGCATGTATAAATGTTTAATATACCGTTCATTTAATTTATTATCTCTATTTTTAAAGTTTTTTTGGTGGGTCAAGACTAGGTTAAGTGCGTATATTATTATACTGAAGTGTTCTTCCTGTTTGACAACTTATTAAAATTCGATTTAAAATATTTCTACCTGTCTAAGTTTCAATAGTATTTACAGTGTTATTATAAATAAATGCAACTGCCAGTAACTAATAGTTCAAAATTAGATTTTTTTTACTCAGGGCGTTTGCCGTTTTTAGCAAACGTTCTTCTATCACCTTTGTTGCTATGGTGTCCGCCATATTGATACTATCATAGATTTCAATTCCATTTCCGTTAATATATAATGCAGACTTTATGTCCTGTGTTTTACACTTGTATTGGAAATACTTAGATTAATTTTAACTGTTATGAATGTTGTTCTAATCCTATATAGATAGGTAAAAGTTTAACAANGCCATATTGATACTATCATAGATTTCAATTCCATTTCCGTTAATATATAATGCAGACTTTATGTCCTGTATTTTACACTTGTATTGGAAATACTTAGATTAATTTTAACTGTTATGAATGTTGTTCAAATCCTATATAGATAGTTAAAAGTTTAACAAAAAAAAACAATCTTACATTGTTCTTTCGTCAGATAGACGAGGTGGTATGCGTAATCTTAAAAAGAAAATTTTAACGTTATTATTGTACTTGATAATAAGTACATCATAAAAACTTGAAACGTAAGTACTTTCTCTGTATTTATGATGTATAAGTTGAAAATAAGCTCTTCTCCCGTCATGACGAAATTTTATTTGTTTATTATAGTATAATGACTGTTAAAATATGACGTTATTGGTTGGTGTTAAGTTCGGACAGCAAATTTGAGTGGTAGAAATTCAATATCAATTTAATCTTTTTATCTTTTGGCTTAAATATTTGAATTATGAACTGTAATAATATAAATACGTAGCATTTAACTCATTAACTGCTATGAATTAAATATTCATTCTCAAATTTGATAATAGTAACTTAGCTTTTAATTTTAAAGAATATTTTTAATACTTTTGTGTTAATTTATACGGACTTGACTATGAAACAATTTGCTTCAGTGCTTCCGTTGTTGCATCTGCTTTTGTCTTAAAAAAATTTCTAGGAATAGTCTACACTTTATTTTCTCTCCAGTGCAGAACAGTTGGGGACTCGTACTATTAAGGAAATATTTCTATATTTGTTCAGATTATTCTTTAAATTCAATATCTTTTGAGGACTGAAATCTGGGGTATAGAACTCTTATTAATATTTCCAAAACATGAATGAGAAGTTACTTATACTCTAATTTCTATGTAGCTATTTGTAGTGTAATGTAAAATATACAATAGTTTTTTTGAAAAATGTTGACTGAACTTTTTATTTTATAAAGGCAAATTTTATAAGATTAATATTTTTGTTAAATTAAGAAATATCTTTTTGAGGATTAATTGTTTTGTGTTTGTTGAACAAAGATATTAAGTCCAGTTAATGTGATCATTAAGCAATGAGGTCATGTAAGCATGTGACTAACAACTGTAAGAAACAGATTAAGCAATCGCAGGTGCATATCATTAAACTATTTTTGCAGAGAACTTAATTTCTTGTGATGATATCATTGTTTCAGGGTTATCCTAATAGTAGCCAATGTTTGGATTTTGGCATCAAAATCTATTTGACATGATTTGTTAAACTGTCTAAAACCTGGAGCAAGTTTTTTTTAACATTCGGGAGAGGCTAATAACTATGAGTCAGATTTGATCTATCTAATAACTGATTTTATTGTATTAATTCGAGTATTAAGTTTAAATTCCCTAAATTAATATAGAATCAAATAATAGGAAATCAAATTCTTTCTTAACTTATATTATTCAAAAATATTTTCAAAAGTTATTGAGCTGAAAAAGCTAATTATTAGGGAAATTTTGATTCATAAAGAAACTTTGTTAGAAAATATTTGGTTCTGAAAATTTTCTGTACTCTGTTTATGTGTACGATAATTACAATATTAATGAACTAATGCTAATTATATTAATGTATAATTTGTTCAAGGAATAGTTTTGAATTTTGGTCTTATTCATACAAAGCTGAAAAGTTAAATCTAGAGATCAGTTTGACTTTTTTTCATCATTGCGTGCTTAAGCTGATTGTTTTTATTTTATTTTCAGTGATTAAACAGATTGGGATTGGATAAATTGTAATTTTACGTGTTTATAATTTATAATATTCTGCTCTAAATATGTGTTATAAGAATTTGTGTTTTAATAATTAACAATATTTTCTGCTCTAAAATTTGGTTTCGACAGTAGATGTCAAAGCAGTTTTAATATCAATAATTAATATCAAAATAATAATCACTTGTAATGTTTTATGTATGTTCAAACATATTTTCAAAATGGATTTTTTACATGACTGATAAAACTAATTTGTCAAACTTTCCTGCCCTGGTATTACTGCTTTAGTCTTAAGAAGTCACTAAAACATCGAAATATTACATCCTCTCTCCCGATTTGGATTTTAAAATTTGTCCTTGGTTAAGAATTTTGGTTCTCTCTTTAATATTTAGTTATCACAATCCAATTTAGTTGGAAAAATTTAATCTGATAAATTTTTTCTTTTCTTGCAGAAAGTCAAAATGCAGATTTTTGTTAAGACATTAACTGGCAAAACTATCACACTAGAGGTTGAGCCTAGTGACACGATTGAGAATGTGAAAGCAAAGATCCAGGACAAAGAAGGAATTCCACCTGATCAGCAGAGGTTGATCTTCGCTGGTAAGCAATTGGAAGATGGTCGTACCCTGTCTGACTACAATATTCAGAAAGAATCTACACTTCACTTGGTTCTAAGATTGAGAGGAGGTATGCAGATCTTTGTCAAAACTTTGACTGGCAAGACCATAACCTTGGAAGTTGAACCCAGTGACACCATTGAAAATGTAAAGGCTAAAATCCAAGACAAAGAAGGTATTCCCCCTGACCAGCAACGTTTAATTTTTGCTGGCAAGCAGCTCGAAGATGGCCGTACACTTTCAGATTATAACATACAGAAAGAATCAACTTTGCATTTGGTACTCAGACTAAGGGGAGGTATGCAGATTTTTGTTAAAACTCTAACTGGGAAGACAATTACTCTAGAAGTTGAACCAAGTGATACAATTGAAAATGTAAAAGCTAAAATCCAAGACAAAGAAGGTATTCCACCTGATCAGCAACGTCTGATTTTTGCTGGAAAACAACTTGAAGATGGTCGCACTCTTTCGGACTATAACATTCAAAAAGAATCTACACTTCACTTGGTGCTGAGGTTGAGAGGTGGTATGCAGATTTTCGTCAAAACACTTACTGGTAAAACAATCACATTAGAAGTAGAGCCTAGTGATACTATTGAGAACGTTAAAGCCAAAATCCAAGACAAGGAAGGAATTCCTCCTGATCAGCAAAGGCTTATCTTTGCAGGTAAACAGCTTGAAGATGGTCGCACTCTTTCAGACTATAACATTCAAAAAGAATCCACTCTCCACTTGGTGTTGAGGTTAAGAGGTGGTATGCAAATTTTTGTCAAAACTTTAACTGGAAAAACCATCACATTAGAAGTTGAGCCTAGTGACACCATAGAAAATGTAAAGGCAAAAATCCAAGATAAAGAGGGTATTCCACCTGACCAACAGCGTTTAATTTTTGCCGGCAAACAGCTTGAAGATGGGCGTACATTATCAGATTATAACATCCAAAAAGAATCTACTTTGCATCTTGTATTGAGGCTGAGAGGAGGAATGCAAATTTTTGTGAAAACTTTAACCGGAAAGACCATAACTTTAGAAGTAGAGCCTAGTGATACAATTGAAAATGTGAAAGCAAAAATTCAAGATAAGGAAGGCATCCCTCCAGATCAACAAAGGTTGATTTTCGCTGGTAAGCAGTTAGAAGATGGAAGAACATTGTCCGATTACAATATCCAAAAAGAATCCACCCTCCATTTGGTTCTAAGATTGCGTGGTGGTATGCAAATATTTGTCAAAACTCTGACAGGAAAGACTATTACACTAGAAGTTGAACCAAGTGATACCATAGAAAATGTGAAAGCTAAAATTCAAGATAAGGAAGGTATTCCACCCGATCAACAGCGTCTGATTTTTGCTGGTAAGCAGCTTGAAGATGGCCGAACCCTCTCAGATTACAACATCCAAAAAGAATCTACACTCCATCTGGTTTTGAGGCTTCGAGGTGGTATGCAGATATTTGTGAAAACATTGACTGGCAAAACAATAACTTTGGAAGTAGAACCTAGTGATACTATTGAAAACGTAAAAGCCAAAATTCAAGATAAAGAAGGAATTCCTCCCGACCAACAGAGACTTATTTTTGCTGGTAAACAGCTAGAGGATGGTCGAACACTCTCCGACTACAACATTCAGAAGGAGTCCACACTTCATCTCGTATTGAGGTTGCGTGGTGGTATGCAGATCTTCGTAAAAACTCTAACAGGGAAAACAATTACTTTAGAGGTTGAACCAAGTGACACTATTGAAAATGTTAAAGCCAAGATCCAAGATAAAGAAGGTATTCCTCCCGACCAACAACGTCTGATCTTTGCCGGGAAGCAGTTAGAAGATGGCCGCACCTTATCTGACTATAACATCCAAAAGGAGTCAACATTACATCTTGTGTTGAGGCTCAGAGGAGGCATGCAAATTTTCGTTAAGACTCTAACAGGAAAAACCATCACTTTAGAGGTGGAGCCCAGTGACACAATAGAAAACGTCAAAGCTAAAATTCAAGATAAAGAAGGAATCCCCCCAGATCAGCAAAGGCTTATTTTTGCCGGAAAACAACTAGAAGATGGTCGAACATTGTCAGACTACAACATACAGAAAGAATCCACACTTCATCTTGTCCTGAGGCTGCGTGGAGGAATGCAGATCTTCGTTAAAACACTAACAGGTAAGCTTTATGTCCATTTGCTCAAGTGTTTAAATTTGGCATTTATTTAAATGAAGTTATTTAATTTTGTTTCGTTTTCAGGCAAGACAATTACTTTAGAAGTTGAGCAGAGTGATACTATTGAAAATGTCAAAGCAAAAATTCAAGACAAAGAGGGTATCCCTCCCGATCAGCAGCGTCTCATTTTTGCCGGCAAGCAACTTGAAGATGGGCGAACCCTTTCAGACTACAACATTCAAAAGGAATCCACTCTTCATTTGGTACTCCGTCTGAGAGGAGGAATGTAAGGTATATGTAGTTAATGTTTCGTAAATTGTTCTTATTTAGTGGTTTTATTGTAGAAAAATAAGTTTAAATTTGTATGCAATATTGAGTGTTAAAACTCCGTTCCATGAGGGCTGACAACAAAAGTACATTTGGCCTTACTTTTTCATTTAGCTATAGGAGCTAAGATTAAGACACTGTAATAACATAATAGAAGAGAAGGTAATTTTCTTTTGTGAAAGCTGACACATAAATAGCAAAACAAGTCACTAAATTCTTTTAGGGTAGTTCTCGAAGTATTAAATTTTTGAGATTTCAAACTCTTTTTACCATTTGTCCTGCTGTAAAAGGTCAGTAAAGCCTAATGTCTCTCCACCTGATTTTTTTAAGAACCGGAAACATATTTGTATTATCTGAACTGCTTGGTCATAATGGTTCTCTAAATAGTGGTCAATACGAATAGAATCTCAAAGGAGCTTTCAGAACTCGAAGATGCCATTCCCCAGGATGTTAAATGTCAATATTGTATTGATTTATATTGACTCAACATTAAAATTGAATTGATGGCTTAGTATGATGTAGCTTATCTGAATTATCAGTTAAACTAATTACATGAAAGAATCTAGTTCAGGGGTATCTGTAGAATTTATTATAAAATTGAACTTCTAGTATTTAAAGTTTAATGGCAAGCAAGTAAATTATCTAATTTTTGTTTGTAAATATTGTTTTGTAAAAGATTCCAGAATCTAATGTGAATATGCTGGGATATTTTATATTAAGAGTGCGTTGCGTTTTTGAAAGGTGCTTATTTTTGTTTTTTAAAAGCTTAAGGTGTTTTCTTTATGGTTTGTTTTTAAAAATTAAATAATTTTCGAAAATTATTTTTTCTTTACCTTATCGATTTTCGCTGTGTATTTTGCAAAAGCGTGGTTTTCTAATTGTTCATGCTTTTGGTTGAGATTCTTGCACTCTCGTGTGCAGCTCTGCTATATTTTGCAAGATATTCTCAATTTCAGGTTTCATTTTCTACCCTCTGAAATTGAACCGCAAAATCTATCTTTTTATAGTGGCTAATATAAGCGAGAAAAGAGCTGTCAGAAACTAGTTGATCACGATAATGTAAAGTCTTTGAAAGTTTTGCATTTTGTTAATGTAAATAGTACTTACAAATATTTTAGAGTGCTTTAAAGTTGCTTTTTTTTTGTTCCGATATTTGACTATGCACCCTGTACGAGTTCGAAATTTTGGTACAAATATCAAAGGTTACAAAAGTTTTTTATACTTTAATATTTTATTGGTTCTATGTTAGGTATTAAATGTAAATTAGTAGGTATTAATATTAAATGTCTAATGTTCTATTAAAAAAACTAATTACCTTTTTTCTTTCTAGGCTGACCAAAATGAATCAGTAAAGAGTCTTATTCTTCACTTAGTGTTGCGCCTTTATGAAAGGCTGTGATTGCATCAAAAATGAACTTTTTTTTTTCTTAAATATTTGTGATTAAAGCTAAATTTTGTTTAATTTTGATATTTTAGTATGAGCAGAATAAAGTTTATTGTTCAAAGCATTAAACCTCTTGGTTTTTATTTTAGCAGTCTTAGTTGTAAATGTAGCTTTTTGTTATTAAGGGATGGCTTTCTTGTCAACTTGTTTAGTCCGTAATGTTTGCTTAAAGTGCTATTTGGATAATCTTGCCTGTTGTAAAAATTTATAATCTGATGTATAAAATATATTTAGCCGATTGAAACTTAGTTTTCTGTGTTTCAGTATTACATAAAAAATTGGACCAAGGTGACAAGGAAAGCTACCTACCAATAACTAAATGTAACTATTAATGTTTTTCAGGCATAAATGAAACTTATCTTACTCATCTCTCCAAAAAAAAAAAAAATCTGAATATTTTTTTCACCATTTAATGTTGATTGTTTGGATGAAAATAGTTTATTCCTGAAGTTTTTGTTTGCTGAATACTCTCAAAATGATGGTACAAAATGGCTTGTAACATAAAATACTAAAATTTGTAATGTTATGATTATAATGTAAAAATTTTCTGGTTTCTTTAGATTTTTACTTTCTATTATGACAGCATTTTTTTAAAGAGCGTTTCTTTCTAGTTAATGTTCTTATATGGTCACTTTTTCTACTAATATGGTAATGTGAAAAGTTAAGATTTCTTGATTTAAGATTTAAATCTATTGTTTCTATCTAGCTTTTTCCCCGGACCTATTTTTATTATGGCGTGGCAATTAAGAGGGTATCTTGAGACTTTCGGTTTGTTAGGCTAATGTTTTATGGGTAACTTTTTTGCTGGAAAATATTTTTAGCATTTAGATTTCTTTTAAGATAATTTTTAATGGGTGGGATTTTTTTTCCATTAAATATTTCGAAGTCTACTTTTCTTTTATCCTAAACATTTTTATTAGAATTTTTCCTTTGCTCCATATTAATAATACAGTTAAGTTATGATTATTTTTCAATAATAACTGAACTTATTTCTAAATAAAAAAATTGTGTTAATGAATTTTACCCAGACCACTCATTACATCTACTTTAATAATTTTTATGAATATATGAAACCAGTTATTGACTAAGTAAATAAATATTATCATTTTCATAAAACCATACCTTCATCGTAGCAAGTCGTTTATTTGTTTTTAATGTTCAAAAAAAGATTTTTACTTGGAAAAATTTGAAACCTGGTTTGACTGACCACTCTATATTACTTACTAACGGTGAAACCTCGAGGAAAGACCTCTCTATTTACTACTACTTTTTGGAGGCACGGAATTTTTTCCATTGACTTTATGTTGAAGAAAATCTTTAGTAGAGACCATGCACCAAATGCGGAAAATTATCAAAACTGAGTAGATTAGAATGTATTCAAAATACTTGTGTGACGCTCTTTTTATTGATATAACCAGGGCTGATTGTGATCCGGATTTTTTGCTAACAGTGATAGTGATCCGGAGATCGAAGGTCCATACCTTTAAAAAAAAATAATTGATCACATATGTTCCCGGAAATCAAATTTTCAAAGGTGTAACTTAAAAACAGTATATTTTATTTGTTTGTAAGGGAGAGCCAGAGAGATACTTAATAAGCTTATATTCATGATTAGTATTCATTTTTTATCAGTACATAGTTGTTCGTTTGAGATGCTTGGTTTTTTCTAAAATATTTTTTTTTCTAATTTAACTTGCAACTCAAAAAGTATATCATTGATAGCCTCATCTTTAGTGCTCTCTGACTGCAGCATGAGGCTATACAGGGGTGATTGTGAGCCAAAGTCAAAATTCCGGAAAATTTCTCAAGTTAAAAAAAAAAAAAAAATTTGAAAAAAAATTGAACAAGGGTTTTTTCCGTTTTCTCAGTTTATTTAAAATATATTTAGAATTTTACACATTCCTATACCATTTACACATACCCACGATGACCTGGAGAAATAATTAAAATTTACAAACATGTCTATTTCTTGAGTTTTCAAAATACAGTGGAACCTGTCTAAATTGACCACCCTCGGGACCAAGTCAAATGGTCACTATATAGAGGTGGTCACTTTAGGATGGCTCTTTAAAAAGGACTCTTGAAATGAAACTTGTAGAAAATGGTCACCTTACTCAGGCGTTTACTTTACCGAGGTGGTCACTTTCACAGGTTCCACTGTATAAATAATTTTTATTATATAAAAGGTAATGTAAACTTAAACAAAAAACATAATTGTGTATTAATTTAAAATAGATTTATCATTCATAATTTATAACCGTCGTTGAACAGCCGACCCAACTTTAGGTTTACAATTACGAATGTTCAAGTCCGTAGCCTTGTAATTTTGAACCAATCCACAAGACAAGGAAACTCCTGAAGCAGTATCGCCAGAGGCAACAGAGGTTTTGGTAACATGGTGGACCTTGTGACTCGAAAGATTTAACGTGCAAAGATTAACGTCTTGTATCGAGCCTACGACCCGGTGGACATGGGGGCCCAGTGCCCTACCAACCAGGGTATCCCGGCCCTATCATTCATAATTAGTAAATTTTTTTACACATTGATTTATCAGGTGGGGTCAATTTTATAGACACAAAATTTTTATGACCCGTTAGAAGTAGCACTTCCACACCGAGAAAATGACACTGACTAAAAATAAAATAGGGATATATTATGTACCTTTGATAACAATTTTGAAGTCAATGGAGGTAACCTCTTAAGAACAACCAACCTCCATTAACGACGATTTTACGGTGCAATGCAGAGTGGTTGCTCCAAAGAGGTTTCATTGTACTAAACTAATTTTGAAAGTTACAATATTTTATTTTTCTGTGCTGATCCATAGATAAGTTTCTCAAGAAAATCCGTTTTAAAAGTGCAATTGAAAGCAATAAAAAGTTACAAATAACTTAATATCTAATTCAGCGGCATAGAACTGAAACACATGCCCCCTTGAAGATTGAACTTATAAAAAATAAACATTAAAAACGTGTGAGAAAATCTTAAAGATTTGCAATTTTATTTATAGCAATGGCAAACAAAACAATTATAATTTTTAGTTTATCAGATGGGGACCTTAATAGCCTTCCGCGACAAAGGGAGAAAAAAATACTCTGTACGAGGCGCATCCAGAAAGTAAGTTTCCCTAATTTATAAAAAAAAGAAAACGAACTCGCAATTTTAGGAACATATTTATTGGCAACAAGTACAACAATGTTTCAGCTATTTTTCAACATAGCCACCACCAGAATTGAGACATTTGTCATATCTTGGAATTAACTTTTGTATCCCTCTGCCGCTTATGAATGGAACCATTGTGTGTCAGACGTCTTCAGTTCTTCGTCGTTTCCAAAACGCTCACCGGAGGACAGGAATTTCTTGAGGTGCAAGAAAATGTGAAAATCACTGGGAGCAATATCAGGATTGTAGGGTGGATGATCAAACAACTCCCAGCCAAATTCCGTCAAAACAGCTGCTGTGCGTCATGCTGTATGTGGACAAGCATTGTCATGGAGGAGCGCAACACCTGCAGTAAACATTACACGACTTGTTTTGAATGGCAAGTCACAATTTCCGCAGTGTTTCTCAGTAACGGTAGACGTCTGTCACACGCTGGTTCCATTCACAGGCGGCAAAATTCTATGACAGAGGGATACAAAAGTTGATCCCACGATACGTCAAGTGTCTCAATTCTGGTGGTAGCTATGTTGAAAAATAGCTTAAACATTGGTGCACTTGTTGCCAATAAATATGATTCTGAAAGTGTGAGTTCTTTTATTTTATAAATTAGGGAAACTTACTTTCTGGATGCGCCTCGTATTTGTGTATATAACAAAAGTTTAAAGTCATATATTTTATTCATATAATTTATTATCTTCAAACTTAACTTTTTTTACTAATAACTTAGTCTTCAAAACATAAGAAGTCGACCTTCTTAAAAGGTTGGCTACGTCTTTAAAGTGAAACTTTAGATTCAAATAACTCTAGTTTCAATGTCCAAGTGACAATTTGATAAAACCATATACAGTGCACTCCCGATTATCCGGGTTAATCACCGGGACAGGGAGCACGGAGAATCGAAAAACACGGATTATCCGAAAACTCTTTTAAGTAGAGAAAAAAATCAATATCAGTACAAAAAATATAAAAATTACTGATATTTGCATGCTGTATAACATCAAACTAGGAATTTTCCTTTTAAAAAATTGTGTAAAGCGTCTTCGTCATATGTTTTACGAACCGCAGTAATGTCACCGTAATCAAATCCTCCCATATAATCTAATAAAATTTCCACAGAGCAGCAGAAATAGAAATTGTATTTCCCTGATTTACTACATCTTCTGCATCAGTTACTACCATCACTATTTGATTTAACAACATAACGATGTCTTCATCTGTCAAATACTGGAAGTCAGGCTCACATGCATCACTTTGAAACCAATCTTCAAAATTTTCTTCGTCAAGAATTTCGAAACCTCAGATTTCTTTTGCTTGTTCGAGAATACTGTTATCATATTTTTCTTGAACATCTGAAGAAGATTGCTCATCAAGCGATATTATCTTTCTCCAAGATCGTGATAAAGTAGACGATTTTACCTTTGACCATGCTGCTGATATTCGATATACTTCAATCCACTAACGAATATTGCTTCCAAAAATTTGGTAGTGTTATAACTTCATGAATAAAATTTTTTTAATCTTTAAAATGTTTCTCTTTATATTTTTCGTGTGACTCCGGAATGAGCACGGATAATCCGCGCACGGATAATCGAGAGTGTACTGTACTTTTAATATGTTTATTTAGCAGATAAAAAATATCCAAAGTAAAATAGATGTTACTAAAAATAAATTATTCATGTGTGATATTTTTTAGAACCATAATCTTGTTTGTGTTCAAAACTATTAGACTACTTTTTTTCCTTATTAGCCAGCTTTTTTAAGAGATAAAAATGAAGAAATAAAAATATTTTCTTTCAAACTTGAATAGTATAAATAAAAATATAATAAATTAAAAATGGTTTTCTCTATTCCTAAGTGAAAAAGAATTGATTTACATAATTTTGTATGTTCCGTTTCGTTCAACTCCGGTAACTTGATTTGCAACCAGTCATTTAAAAGGTTGTCCTTTTTTTTTATAAAAAGATCCTATAAATTTTTGAACCTTTGCTGCTGGGACAGTAGCATACTTGAAATTGTATTATTCAAAACTTTTTTTCCCGAAACAATTTCTTCTTCATTGGCTTGACAGCCCAGGATGGGCCCTTGCCTTCCGCAGAGTTGAACTCCAGGCTCTTCTACACTTGGCCATAGACATCCAATTTGTGACTTTTAGAATATTTAAATCACTTTCGAGGCAGTCGAGTCATCTTAGTCTAGGTCTTCCTCTTTTTCGAGTGCCTAATGGTCTGGCAGAGAAGATCTTTTTTGTATCGCGGTTATTATCCATTCTTGATAGGTGTCTCGCCCATCCGAAATAATTTATATTACAATAAACTTAAGGATGATTGAAAAATATTTTCGATTTGCTCAAATTTCTCTCAAGATATGCTAAAAGTCACAAATATTGAAATTATCAATAAGAGGCTCTAGTTTTTGACTGCTCTACTGCACTATTTGGGACCGTATTTTTTAGATTGCAGCAACTCCCCACATTTTGAGGGTTAAATTCTTTTTTTGCTTGATTTGTGTTCCTAACTTTTCTAAACCATAAATCATTAGTCATACGCACTTGTTAAAGTACTTTACCAGGGTGCGTAGCCAAATCTTTCAACCAAAAATAAGCACCTTTTAAGCACTCAAAAATATTTTGAAGCACCATATACATTAACAAAATGCAAAATAATTTTTTTTCAGACTTTACATGATCTTGATAAAATAACTAGTTTCTGACAAATCTTTTTCTTGATTATATTATCCACCATAAAAACATCAAGATTTTTCATTTCAATTCCAGAGGATGGAAAACAAAACCTGAAATTGAAATTCGAGATTATTGAGAGCGCAATAATCTCACAGAACCCTAATCAAAGAATGAAACTAATTTACAAATTCTGAAAAAGACAAAATAAGTAAGTAACATTTGAAATAATAAATCAAAATAGAAAAGCGCTTAAAGCATCTAAATTTGTTTTATTTTAATTTATGAAGTCAGAAAAACAATTCTAGCAGAAAACAAAAATTATAAAAATTTTAAGACGTGTGTTAGCAGAACAGCACTTCATCAGGAGACACACTGCCTGCTAACACACATGAGCCTTTCTTTTGTCAGTGGTGAAACCAAAAACTGACACTGTCCTGGAGCCCCATAATGGAAAATCAAATAAGAAAAAGCAATTAGAAAAATTGAAATGTAAATGCAAAGACAAATAAATGACAAATAATTACAAAGTAAGTCTTAATAATGACTTAAAAGTACAAAATAAGACATAACGAACTGCCACAAATAAGAAAAATAAATAAGAAAGATAAAGTTACAGTTAAAATAGCCACATCAAAATAACATATAAATTGCAAAATCATTAAGAAAACTTTAGAAATAAATCAAGTGCTGACCTCTTTTTTGAAAATCTTGAAAAAATAAAATAGAAAAACAATCGATGAGTAAAAATTTTAAAAAGGTGCTGCCATCTATATGCTTCAGGAACATAAAATCCTAAATTTCAACACATAGGCCTATTTATGAAGGCTTCAACATCGGCCGAATTATTTGAACGTTTTTAAAATATTTTAAATCAAAATATCATAATTACAGTAATTAAAAGGAAAATTATTATTCTCTAACGTAATTCTGAAATTCCCAACAGCTGAAAGAAAATCTGTTTTATTATTACAAATAAATTGAAATTTAACAATTTGACCAATCAAAATATTCTTAAAAATCTTAAAGTAAAGGTTGGAATTAAAATGCATTAAACTAATAACATGAAACTTAAAATCTCTTCTTTTATCGTATAATCCGATGAAAATTTTTTGGTTATGAATTTTGATATCAAGATCAAAATAAGTGCAATTTTCTTCCGAATTACGTCTTAATTAAATTTAGTTCCTTAGGATAAGTATGTTTAATTAAATCAAAATCATTACAATTTAAAAATAATTAAATCATCAATTAATCTAAATCCAATTAATAAATTATGTTGTAAAAATTTGTGTTCATAAAAATGTAAGAAAATATTAGCAAATGCACTTGAATAACAATTCCCCGTTGAAATGCCTTGAATTTGTCTAGAAAAACAAATACCATTAAAAAGATAATTTTCAGAAATGTTTGTATTACATACATTTATTCAGTCTTCCTTATTAATGTCCCCATTATTCAAATATTTATCAAAAATGTACAAACAAATATTCCTTAAATTATTGTATGGTACACTTGTAAAATTTTTTTCAAAATCACATGTAAGAACAGCATTAATATTATTGTACGCAGCAACGAACCCAGCTCATTAGACACACATGCGGACCTACAAGTATTTCATCAAACATGTAAAATGATTGGCGCTTTCATAAGCTATGAACCGTCGGTATGCTTAAATGCATTATGTTTGAATGAATTGTGAAAACGTTGAATAGAACAATATGAAAACCACGTTTTTCACAATACGTGGTGAAAATCGACAAGGTAAAATAAATCAAATCTCACTTTTGAAAAGGGAAAATTAAGCACTTTTTACAAACACCCATTAAAAAAAAACGGCTTTTAAAACATGAAAATCAAAAATAAGCACCTTTAAAAAAAAGCTATGCACCATGCTTACAACAAAATTAAAATAAATAAATGCAGTACAAAAAAGTATAGACAACTGCCAGGCAGAGGCAGGCCTGGAGGAAGTTGATTGAGAAGGCCAGGACCCACCCGGGGCTGTCGTGCCATTGAGGAAGGAAGGACAAAAAAGTATGGTACTAAAATAATTTATTGGGAAAATGAGCAAGAGATGACATTAACTAGTATTAGTTTCATAAAACCTATTCTACATATCATCTTTAACAGACATAAAAACCACTTTCTTATGAATGATTTGTCAACACACTATACATAACACAACTCAGAGAGCAACAACAAAAAAGGCACTTTTATGGTTTAAACTTAACAAGGGGGATATTTTTTGATGATAGGCACTTATCGCACACCCATTCAGCGTACACTTCTGCAGATAAAAGGTGGAACGCAATGTCAGAGAGGCCTGTGCAGACCCTGTGGAACCAGAAATTGCAGCCACTCTCGCACAGAATACCTTGGTCATTGTCATGCACTTCTTTGTGACATATACCGCAGGGGTAAATAGGTGGGGCATTTGGATTTTGTGGGTTAAAAATCATCGGCTGATCAGGTGGATAAACCTGCAATAGTTTAAAAGAGTAATCATTAATACCTTAAATTATTAAAACTTAGAGAGTACATTTTTTAATATTATTATTGAGTGATCAATATTAAAATAATAATAAACTGTGGGATAGTAGATATCGGCAATGTCAACCTTCTTTTATGAAAAGGTAACAGATTTTAGTTAGTAACTATTAGAATGTTTTTTATAGTTACAAAATACGAAAATGCATTTCTGCTAGTAATTATTAAAGTGTCAGAAAAATATATAAAACAAACACCAGTATCCCAACAGCGTCAAAGGATTAAGTAAATAATATAAAGTACATAATACATAAAAAATATAAAATGGTTTTGGTTACTTAGTGAGATGGTTGTGTTGAAACTTGTGTAGAGTAAGAAAAATAATTGCTCACCTATATTATTAGTTTGCTATAATAGAAATAAATACTTGACTAAGTTTCTTTTTTAAATGTTGTTTTTAATGAATTTATTTGTACAATTTTTATGATTATATCATATTTTAATACCAGAATCTTCTTTAAACATTTCTTTAAATGTTTAAAAAATGTACAAGTATTTTGTAATCTGTGCATGCGAAGAGTGTATTTAAAAAATTTTCTGAAACAGTAACTCCTGTAGTAGTAACTCTTTTTTTTTCTGCATAAATTACAAAGATAAATAAAAATAAATATTTGGAGAGAATAAGCGAAATATATTTATCCAAGCTTAGATTTGAGAAATGAAATTTTAATAAGCTCTATTTTTATTCAAATGCTAGTATTTTTTGTCCCAGAAAAACTCATTATCAAACAGCTTTCAGTTTTCATTAATCATACAGTATCAATGAATTTTGATCCATTTAAGGTTGCAATTAATACAAATAAAATAAAATGTAATAATTACAAACTGATCACAGTTAAAAATATAAATTGAACTATTTTTCTACGACAGAAATTAAGATTTGAGAGATATAATTTTCTCTTCTTTTTTTAAATCAGGGTGCATAGCCAGACTTTTCAACAAGAATAAGTACCTTTTAAGTACTCAAAAAATATTTTGAATCACTTTTCAAAAAAAAAACATAATTAGGATCGGTGCAGTANAAAAAAAAAAAAAAAAAAAAAATCATAATCAGGATCTGTGCAGCAATAAAAATAATTTTTTTCCACTGTCAAAATTATTTTTTTCAACTTTGCATAATCATGATAAAATAAATATTGCAGAGAAAATTGAAAATCATGAATTTTTTCCTGTAATTTAAAACGACAAGGCAAATAAACCTCTTTTCAAAAGATAGAAAACTAAGCACTTTTTAAAAATGCTACACACCCTGTAAATGTTTTATAAAAAGATTTATACAACCAACAATAGTTGTTTTTGCTGAATTTTTAATAGCAATGAAACAAGTAGCTTCCTACTATCAATTGAAGAAACCGTAAAGTTCAGTGTAATAAAATTAATTTGCTTATAAAATACTCAATGCATTGGAAACTAATAATAAAATAAAAATATTTGGTACTATCTAAATTTTGTAAACAACTGGTTAGAAGAAAACTATTCATTTATAGGGTTATTTAAACAGAAAAAAGGCAGTTCTGTAGAATTGTTTAAAACGATGTTAATAAAAACGAAATTATAACATTTTCTTTTCTTTAAAATACAGGATGTTTCAGAATACTTATTTTTAGAATTATTTTCAAAAAGGAATTAAAAAAAAAAAAAAACGTATGCACATCAGGGGTCCTAATGATATTTAAGCAAGTTAGAAACATAAATGCCAACTAAACTTGTCAAATCACTAGTGAGGAAAGAGCAAAGAAAAAAAAATCAAAATCAGTTTGATTGCCTGATGAAAATTAAAAATTCAGTATTTCTTTGAGTTTCTTCCAGCAATAAAATAGATTTTCATGTTTTCAATCTTGATTTACTCAGCAAGTGAGTCATCAGGTTTTAATAGAGTATTTGTTTACTCCTCTATATTAATTATAAAACTCCTAAAGCATAATTAATTAGACTAAATATAGTAATAAGAATATATATCATAATGGCGGCAATTACGAAATATCTTGTTGCGGATATAAGTTTAAATATGAAGAAAAATGAAATGATGTTGAGGTATAAAATGTTTGCAATACAAGATTTGATTACACAAGTGGTGCAGGGTTTAAATCTTTTACATTCAAATTTTAATTTACTATCTGAAAAACAGTTTTTATAGATATTTATAGTATCTTTTTACTCAACTCCTAAAAGGAAATAATTTTCAGCATATAACATAAGAAGAGAGTGACATGACAACACATAGCCAATTACAAAAGAGTTGCGGAAACTTTTTAACCTCAATTGTAGGTTGGAATCTGATACCACATTCATTTAAGCAAAAAAAAAAAAAAAAAACTACATTTGCTTTAAAAATGATGAATGATTAAGCTTGTAAAAACAATTTGATTTAATGATAAAAAAATATAGCATTAGTCATAGATATAGTTCCTGGGTTAAATTGCTGATTGTAGAATTATTATTTTTGCTTGTTTGAGAGAATAGGAGTAAATTGCATTTTGTGATAATTCAAGTATTCTCTGGTCACCTTCTATTTTAAATTGTACAAGTTTTATTTTATATATAGACATTGGATTTTTGAGTACTAATTATATATAATTTTTCAATATGTTTGATAAAAGCAAAAATCATATAATAATAACACTAAAAACAAAATCTGAAATAATTTTAAAACCAGTCTTTCCTCAGATAAAAATTTCTCAAGCCAAACCATATGCTCAAATAGATTTTTTTTAAAAATTTAAAGAGCTTCATTAGCACACAAAGTACTAGGTTCTTTAATTTTGTATGCTTCAGCTTCCCTGTTAGGGTGCACAGGCAGATTTTTTAACAAAAAATAAGCAAATTTTAAGCACTTAAAAATATTTTTAACCACTTTCCAAAATAAAAAAATTATAATTAGGATCCGTGAAGTCATAAAAAATATTTTTTTTCTCTATCGTTCAAAGTTCCTAATTTATAAACATAAAATCAATAAAATTCCAACACATTTTCAAAAACTTTCCATAATTATGATAAAATAGGATAGTTTTTGATAAATATTGCAGAGAAAATTGTGAGAATCATGCATTTTTTGAAGGTGAAGGACAATCAACAAGGCAAAGAAAAAAATCTCGTTTAAAAGATAGAAAATTAAGCACTTTTTACAAACCACGAATAAAAAAAGCACCTTTAAGCACTTTTTGAAAATGCTATGCACCCTGCTGTTAGACTGAGGCACTGGCGTCGGAACCATAGGGGTCCGGACCCCCCCAATAATTGGGAACCCAGGGTTCATTATTTTGAGAAAATATTTCCGATTTGTTTCCATAACTTTTAATTTCTCTCTCTCTTATTTTTACAAAGCGTAACTTATTATATTATATAATTAAAAGAAAATTAGTAAAAAATAAAATACACACAGAAAAATGCACTGTCTGAAAAAATAAAACAGGTGTTTAGAGAACTACAAGAAATGTCACAGCCACCCTTTCCTTCAATAAGCAATAAAACACTCTTCCCACCTTTCCTTCTCACTGTTAACTGATAAAGACGATTCTCCCTCAACATAACACACATAGTCATTTGATACCCAAAAATAGCCGCCTTAGTTTAGGATACGGGAAAATGGTTAGCATTTTTAACTTATCTTTATCGTATTTATGGCCCTGGGCTCTTTTGTCCTCTTTTTTAAAATGTCAAATATCAACAGACCCCTACCTATTCATAAATTGTCTCAAACAGGCAATTATCTAGAATTTCTAGGGGGGATTTCAGTAGGGGGAGATTCTTGTAGACATTTTCCATTTTTTGGGGGGTTTTTTTGGTGGTTTTGTTAAGAAAATTTCTCTGAAATAGAATCATTCTAAATCTTCTCTTACGTATAAGCGCTCACAGTGTTATTCCATCATTATTTAAACTAGACATTTCCAGTCAGTTCGAAATTTTGATAAATATAAGTAGTAATTCTGTTTACTTTTATATTTTGTTTCATTAATTGTTTTAACTTAAATTATTAGTTGTTATTTTTTTAAATAAAGTTTATTTAAAGTTTTTGTAATAATGTTTATCGTTGGATAATAAGAAGTCATTAAATAAATTCTGGGGAGGTAAGCAAATGTTTGTATTAAATCACTTACTAATACATTTATTATTATATGTTTGCAAGAATTGTTTTATAGTTTGTATGTTAAATTTATTTATACAGTACATCATTTCATGGTCTTACTGTTCATTGCGCATTAATTTATTTTGAACGCACGGCGCTACTTTTTATTTATATTTGTAATATCAATGTAACTTTTTAATTTTTGAAATTATAAATCGAAACTTAGAATTTTAATGACCTTTCTATAATTTTGTTTACATTCAGAAATTTAATGTCACGTTTATGTTTATAAGGACATTTATAAAATTAATAAAAAATTTTAATTAAAAAAAATTATATAAACATTGATTATTTATGTTCAAATATAAATAATTATCACTAACTTGCATTTTAATTAATTAAAACAATGAAGAATTACTTTAAACGCAAAAGTTTCCTAAAAAAATTCATATAATTTTATTACGGTAAAAAAAAACTAATAAAAATATTTTTTTTAAGAATGGGACAAATTGTTAAACTCAATTTATTGTATGAGTGTTTAATGATCACTTCATGTAATTTTATTTATTTTGTTTTTATCAAAATAATATGGGATTTTTAAAGTAATTATTTTGTGCTAATCAACATTTTCATAATTTGGTATTTTCAACAAATATTTTTTCTGAATTAAAAGTATTAATTTTTGAAATTTTAATACTGAAACTATAAATACTGCCGATAGAGGAAGGAAAATAAGAGTTCTATGTGTTGTCTTTTTTATTTTTTCGTGTACATTTATACGAAGTTTTTATGGTTACCAAAATAAATCATGCGATCCAAGAAAACCAAAAATATCTCATCTTGTCTGTTTCTTTGCTTGAAAATAAT